GGAGTCGGTCGGAGTCGACAGTTGTGACCGGAGTCGGAGTCGGAGTCGGAGTCGATTTTAGAAACCCGAGCCGGAGTCGGAGTCGGAGTCACCGAAAATCTGTCGACTCCGCAGCCCTGCTAGGTCTGAGGAGTCGGAGTCGGGAGTTGGAGTCGGTCGGAGTGGACAATTCTGCCCGGAGTCGGAGTCGGAGTCGGAGCTGGTTTTTGAAAGCCGGAGTCGGAGTCGGAGTCGGAGTCGCCGAAAATCCATCGACTCCGCAGCCCTGATTTCGACTAATTGACACTTCGGCAAATTTACATTTTGACTAATTAGCATTTCGGCAAATTAGCATTTCGGCGAATTGACATTTCGACTAATTGACTTTTCGGCAAATTGACATTTCGGCAAATTAACATTTCGACTAATAAGCATTTCGGCAAATTAGCATTTCGGCGAATTGACATTTCGACTAATTGACTTTTCGGCAAATTGACATTTCGGCAAATTGACATTTTCGACTTATTGCACGCCGGCAAAAAGGCATGTCGGCAAATTGCATTTCGACTTTTAGCACTTCGCCCTTTTGACACGTCGGCAAAAAGACACGTCGGCAAAATGCATTCGACATATTGACATTCGGCGAATAAGCATTCGGCAAAATGCAGTTCGGCAAATTGTCCTGTAACCGCCAATGAAACCCTTATCCTACATAATTGTACACCTTACAGTGCAATACAATTGAGAATTGTCACTTGTGGACATACCTTTACCTGACAAGACCAGTTGTAATCATTAGGTATAGTATCATCATTAAATTTGAATTAAATCAACAACATTTGTACTACATTTAAAATAAACCAAGAAGATGCACATTGCACATTGCTACTTTTTGTGACCAATTGTAACTTTTCATGACAGCACTGATGACAATCTTATCAACAAGCTACAGCCACTTTAATTCAATGAACAAACAGTACAGACAGATGCAGTGGCAGCGGGGCACTGCAGATTTTCATTTTGGTCCCATTCTTTCCATGCAACACCAGTAGGGCTAATGTTAAAATGCCAAAATCTATGGGGGGCACTGTACCCTGGTGCCACCCCCCCCCCCCCCCTGTTCTGCCGCCTATGGACAGATGTTAGGAAATCAAACCTGGAAGCCAGATAGGTCAGTTTTGTTAAAAATAATCCAGCAATCCACTTCTGCCAGGTATGAAATCCCAATCCAGAATGTTCGTATGAGCTATTAGTATGTGCAACACAATTTCGATTTAGTAAGAATAGCAACCAACCTCTAATACTTTCCTAATAAAATTACAAGTTCAAAAATGGCATCAACTTCTTTTCCCATACCTGCTACATTGCATGATTAAATCGAGACATCCAGGCATTTTAATGGCACGTGCACTGTACCACACTTTTCAAAGTTTAATGCAGTGCCTTAATATTGCCAGCCGTGTGGTTCAAGGGGTGTGGTTAAACGCGTTGAACCACACGGCTGCTGACGTCACTATCAATTATAGTTGTGAGCTTTTTGGCAGGTATGGGAAACACCTTCCAGCCCTAAGGCCGGGAATTCAATAAATGTCACCTCGCTTTTTTAGCGAAAAGCACCTCGGGCCTAACGGCCCTCGGAGTTTTCGCTAAAAAACCTCGGTGACATTTATTGAATCATCCCGGCCCCGGGCAGGAATATATTCAGATTACCTACTTTTGGCATCGTGCCACGTGTGGTGCCATGCTGTGTTTTCGTTATGAGAGAGCCTCCCAAAAAAAGACAAACGAAATTCACAGCTCACGTTTTGGTAATATTGTTTTATTACGTCATTATCGTTTGACCAATGAAAAATCTTAATTTGACTGAAACCGTAATGATTCCAAAAGATTCCCCGTAATAGGCCCTTCAAACTAATGACGTAAGGTATTGTGATTCTTTTGACAAGTGAATAAAATAAAGATGCAAGGTGCTCAGGGTCATGTAATACCGTTTCAGCTTACGTTTACGTCATTAAATTCAACGCTACAAAGATGATATTCACAAACAATCGTATCGTAAAATTATGTGAGGCAGAAAAAATGAACATTCTTTAAAAAAAAAAACTCCAGACTTTTGAATTTCCAGTTTTATTTCTTATTTATTTTCATTATACTCGAAGGTAGAACGCTTAGCTCATTTGTTATTTGAATTGACGTCACGAGTTCTATTTAGGTACTGAATAATCAGTTTACGGTAAATATCCAAGGCCATTACAATTGATATTTCGCTTCCGATCGCTTCCGCGGGCTGTTGAATATTTTTATACCCTTGTTTATATCTCAGTTTATTTTATTAAATATTTCTTGCAATAGATTGAAATACCTTTACCTAACCAAGCCACATGTGTCAGTATCATCTTTTATTGTTTATCAATCAATTGTGCTAGCTGGAAACTGGAAAGCCTCATGGTTGTCCAATGCAAGATTGTCTTATCAATATCATTATGGAGATTCTAACATGAATTGTGATGTGGTAGGTACCTAGTAATGTATTGTTCATTAGTCATTACTTTGACTTACCTCTATGTTAATTGTTAATGCAAACTTTTCTGTTGGTATGTGAACAATTTTCATGTCACTCAATTCTCTCAAGTTGTGACTGTCATGAGCCTCCTTTATGTTGTATTCTGTATAATGTAACTGGATGCCTTTACTTATATGGCCTTTGTATAAGATTGTTTGTTTCTAACCATACTTTGGTATTCATACCTTCTTATGAAAGAAAGTTGTTAACCATTTTGAGCACCTATGAGCTATGATCCCAATGGATCTCACGACAAAATTGGGGAGCCAGATCTATGATCCGAGTGGATCTAGCGACCAGTATAACGCCTTTTGGGGCGACTAACGGAGCGAGCGAGAGGGTGGGCCTTGCACGTGCGAAATTGCGAGGGGGTACCTCCAACTGACTTGTGCACGGCACCCTACTAACCGGTCTCTAGCGACGTGCCAAATTTGGGTACAATCGGCCCAGTCGTTCTCGAGATCTGGAAGCGGCACCCTGCACGTGCGCACGTGCAAAATGGGTCCCAACTGACTTGTGCACGGCACCCTACTAACCGGTCCCTAACTGTGTGCCAAATTGGAGCGCAATCGGTCGAGCCGTTCTCGAGATCTGGAAACGACCCCTGCACGTGCGCACGTGCAGCAGCACCCCAACTCTGGCACATGGATATGCAGTGCCTAGTGGGTGCCTACCTACATGCCAACTTTCAGCGCAATCGGCCAAGTAGTTACCGAGATATTGCAACAATTACAAAACTGACACCTCTTCGTTTTGCACGTGGCACGTGCATAAGGGGTCACCCACATGCATCGGGAATAGTCCAATACTTGGTAGAAGGAATGAAGCTACCCTACAAAAATTACCGCATGTAAATCGGTCAAGTGGTTGCTGAGATATAAGCTTCACAGAATCGTGACCACGGCCGGCCGGCCGGCCGGCCGCTCATACTCAGAAATTTCCGTTATTCTACGTAAGACTCCGCTCGCTTCGCTCGCTCCGTAACAAAATTGAAGGGTCAGATCTATGATCCCAGTAGATCTCTCGACAAAATTGAGGGGTTGGATCTATGATCTGAATGGATCTCGGATCGGGATCCATGGGATCGGATCTCAGATCCATTTTTCCGGATCCAAGCACATGTCTGATTGTTACTTTATGTCATCGTGAGGCGTCAATATTCCGAGAACGGAGTAGAATTTTTGGTGTAATGTTGGTTTCGCATTAAACACAGTTCAGCGAGAGGAAATATATGGATCCGGTGAAGGTCAAATGATGTATGCGTGCATTATGCTTATCAGGGTACTCCAGCCCGTTTCTTGGCCGCCGCTTATTTAAACTCCACACTGATACCATCTCTCCAAACACATAAATCACACTCCTGCGCTGTGCGCCACCCAATCTCCTCTTCTCCGTTCTCCGAAAGCGTAGTCATAACACACACGTTCGGCGTCCATAACGCGGAGACCCCGGTCATCAACGCACGCCCCCGCCGCTACCCTCCGCCCACCGAGCGAAGTCCGTCGCTGAACGCTTCCAATCGAGATGCGCGCTGAAGGGCGTTCCGTTCAGCACTTCTCGTTGGGCGATCGCTTCACGGCGGCCGCTCTCTGAAAACGGCTCATCAATCGGCGCCCACCCGCCCCCAGCCCGCTCCCCCGCTCCAGAACCGGCGGAGGATCGAGCTATCGAAGCTGTCGCCGCCGCTACCATCGTTGGGACCGCGTCCTCCCGGTATTCAGCGTTCGGTGCCGAGCTTAACGCGGATGCCAGTGTGAGACCGCTGTCATCGTGCCTAGCAGTGCAGGGCGGTCTGGAAACGGCTATGGGTCCGAAGGCGGCAGCAGTTGGCTGGGCAGGGACACACCACTCCGTGTGGCCACCAGGGTGAGGAATTTGACATTCGCACCACGTGCCGGGTACGTAACGTGCCGAGAAAAACGATAAGATGTTGACCCAAGTGGCGAGGGATGGCAATATTACGTGGAATTCACTGCAATTTTCCGAATGAAAAACATAATATCACGATATCTGGAAACGTTTACCAACACAAAATAAGGACTGCATAAACTGGTAATAAAAATAGATGCAATGCCTACCATGTTGAAGACGCCATACGAACCACCACCTTTCCAGAAAACATGAGGTACGTTACTACCAACTTCAGGCATGTAATCTGCGTGCAACTCAGATCCAGGCACGTTCATCTCTGATAATGGTAAGTAATGGCCATTAGCCGCCGTAAGGATGTCATGATTCGATTACAGAAATTCCTGGAAACCTAGCTGCACCGCGCGGCAGTTCCATTCCAGCTCGCAGTTGCCCATTACTTGCAGTAGACTGCCAAATCCATCCCATTCAAGCCCTGCAGCACACTCCAAGCTCGGGCTCACCATGTCATTCCCTGGACACAAACGTTCACAGCACTGCATGTATGGTCAAAGGGTAGTGTGCGCGCTGTAAGAGCAGAATTCCTTACCCAGCCGTCTCCGTCTGCCTTCATACTGCCCACCAGCAGCTTCAGTTGGCTGACCGTCACGTTGTAGGTGGCCAGTGTGCCCAGCAACTCCACCAGAAGATCTGTGGGACGCGCACAGGTCAGCTAAGGTCACCGGGATCATGTTACGTGGTCATGGTGTCGAAATTTTCCATAACAATGTTAAGTGACCTGAATGAAAAGCTCCTTTGTGTAAGCGATGATGCATGACAGATCAGTGATCACCTTAGGGGCCCAAGCAGGTGACCTTTTCGCCAACGTATTCACAACATCCGACGCATTAACAAGCACGCCCACAGGTCTCCACAAGGGTGTGCACTGTGCAACTCAATTCTGGAGCATATCTAGCAAAGGTCGGCCGCACCGCCCTCCCAGCACAGTAGTTCGCGGCTGCCGGAAACTCAATCTAGCGAGAGGACATGACAGTCGAGAGGGAAACCCACACCATTCCAGATTTACCACCCTGATACCACCCACGGTGATATCTCAACTCTGCAGTCACCGGTTAACACCCCACCCGAGGGACCCCATGGTTCGTCATAGTGTGCCAGTAACCCTCCCCCTCCGTCCATCCTGTGGCCGACGTCTCGCCCTACAATGTCCCTAATGGATGCCAGCGACACGCTCTCCAAGCCCGGCGGCCGCACGCAAGCATGCCGGCATTCTCCGTCGCCGAGCCGGCGAGCCGCCTTTCTTCGGGTGCCCGCAGGCACGGGGCAGTGTTAGTACGGCGCTCTTAAGGGAGGGAGGGATACAACGGGAGGGGCTCTCGCGGCGAGCCTGCGGTGGCGCTGTTCAAACACTTACCCCAGAATGACAAGCGAGGGATGCAGATAGCGGGAGAGTGAGAGGATGATGGAAATAGTGAGAATGGGAATCAGAGAGGAGGGGTTAGGCGAGGAAAGAGAATGAAAAAAAGGACAATGGACAAGCACCTTAATAACATATCGAGGTGCGTTAAACAGGATCAGCCCAATCTGAAGGCTGATAAGTGACTACATTCGTGGATTTGTACAGCACAAAAAAATTGGCTATCGCAGATTTCGGTGATCGGTCAACAACACAAAACATACAACGAACTATTAAGAATGTTACCATCCATCTAACCACACACCACCAGACCCAGCGACCAGCCGACAGAACTTCGCAGTGCGCAAGCCACCACAGGTCGTCGGCATCCGATGGCCTCCGATTGATCCCAGCGCCGTGCACGACCGAATCGTGCGCCGTGACCGAATCCATTACCGTTTCGATGGCCCCATCGCGGGTACCGAGAACGCCACCGACCGATACGGAAGCTGCGCGGCGCGCGGCCCACCGCCTGCAGATTCCGTATTGCACTCAAATGGTGAATATCTCACCGCTGCTCAGATAGCATCGTGCCATAGGCGCCAGCCGGGTCGGTTTACGAGATGGGTCTCCGCTCGTTTGGAGAGTCCTCAGGCCTAATATCTGACAGCTCTGCCACCACCACGGCTCCAGCGTGCCGACCGCTCTAACCCGAAATATGCGCGATGGGATAGAGTGGGGTGGGGCGGGTTAGTCCACATTGGACTGGATTGGATGAACTGACTTGTATTGGTTAGGTTTTGGCAATTGCTGTCGCCAGCGCGCTTGATTGAAGATAGTTTTGCGTGGACTAGTCACCTTAGGGTGAACGAAGAAATCGATACCTAGGCTAAGATGGGTGCTACTGAATTTAACTCTGCTAGTCTGTGTCATAAGACTAGCTGAACTGATTTTAACTGAACTCCGATCTAAACTGAATTGGGCCGGAACGAATTGGAGCCAGTCTGAACGGGGTTCGATGAGATTACATTAAACTGGACGAGCTGGAATGAGACGGAACGGAACGAGTGAATATGGTGAATCGAGTGGAACGACGGCACCGGATGTCCCCATATCCGCCTGGCTCAGCCCAGCGACATCGCCACGCCCCATCGCCGCCAGCCGTGCGCTATCTGACCCCAACCGCCCGAGGCACAAAAACAACAGACCCACCGGCCGCCGCTGGCAGAACGCGCCACAAATCGCTCACTGAACCTCCATAGCTTTTTGGGCCGAACCTACTCGAAAAACACCGTCCAGTGCGGAGAGCAGCAAAATAAGCGATCATCGCTGGCTCTGGGAGTCCCCCGGCGGGCGCGTGCGGCGATTACAGCGAGCGCAGGTCGATATCCACCCGCCCCGCCCCGGAGGAGAGTGGCCGGAGCCGTGGTGCCACGTGGCGCGTGCCGTGAGTCCGGTAGATGTGTGTGACATGTGACGTGTGCGCGCTATCGGTGACACCCGGCGTGGGACGAGGAGCATACGGAGGGCGTGAGAGAGAGAGAGAGAGAGAGAGAGAGAGAGAGAGAGAGAGAGAGAGAGAGAGAGAGAGAGAGAGAGAGAGAGAAAGAGAGAGAGAGAGAGAGAGAGAGAGAGAGAGAGAGAGAGAGAGAGAGAGAGAGAGAGAGAGAGAGAGAGAGAGAGAGAGAGAGAGAGAGAAGACAACAAACAGGCAGAAGCAGAGGCAGAGGCAGAGACGGAAGTAGAGACGGTGTAAATTTACCTGCCACGACCGTGTCGGCCTTGGGGAGTCGGCGCAGCACGTGCTCGATCAGGCCCACCTCCACGCAGGCCTGCATGTTGCGCATCGACTTGCGCAGGATACAGGTGAACACACTCCAGAGTTCGGCCTGCGGGGAGCGCGGGCAGACGGTCAGAGGGGGCCGGTCGGCAGTCGATGGCTCCCTCCGGCGGGAGCCGTTGAACGAAAACGGGCCAACGGCGCGCACCTGGTCACGTTCCGAGCTGGTAGACGGAGCGGGAGGTGCACCGAAACGGTACGGCCGGGTGCTCCCGACGGCAATGTTTCACCGGCGCTGAAGTTCGGAGAGCGGTTAAATGTCATTTCGGCGCTGCTCACCTTTAAAATTTCCCTCACACAGAGAGAGAGGTCTGAATGGGCGCCCAGGGAGGAGTGTTCTGGACAAAGCCCTACAAAGCTCGGTGTGTGGGGTCAGCTGGGTCATGGGGCCACTTCTGTGTTACTAACGGGTTAAACAGAATAATAATAAAATAACAATAATAGACCGTTGCCTTCGTAACCTCGCGTATTTTGTCAGGCACCGTTTAACATCTTTATTCGCAAAATAAGGCTTCATTTGCCTGAGTAACGCAAAATCAATAATAAAACTTGAAAACAACGACAAACATTGTTTGACGTCGGTTTGATTTAGGACCGCAAAAACAATGTCGTATAAAACGATAATTAAACCGAAGATGACGGCTGAGAAAAACAAGAAGGAAATTTCGCCCATCAGTTTTGCTTTCTCGGATGGTTTAAGCGACGGGGTATTTAGCCGATCGGTGAGAGCCCGGTTCGAGCAGCTGAAGTACAACCATCAAACCACTGACGGGGAGAAGATCTATAATTCTCGCGCGTACCGTCAACGGTGGACGCGGGTCGTAAAATTAGCAGGACGCACGGAGACTATCTTTATGGGAACGCCTCTCCTATAAAGAACACTTTTAAAAAGTTGCAGGTCAAGTTGAAGTCTACGCAGAAGAAAAACGTAGCGTATTATCCAAAAGTATCAGTCAGACGTGCTATACCAACCGTAACAAGGTAGCTGAGGATATCATCACAATTACGTGCAAGTAAAACGCCATGAATTTGAAGATTCGTTAGATCAAGTAAATAACTAAATGTGACTTAACTTCACTTCTATAAAAGCATGCTAAGAAAATACTCATTAAAAACATTTCAGCTGTGAAACGGATATACAGCAGACAACAATTCGAATTAGGCTCTCGATTATCCGTCTAAGCCGATCGCTCCAGCAACCCGAAGCTGGTACCACGGCCGTCAGTCCTTACCTGCAGCTTGACTGAGCAGTGGTCCATCACCTCCAGCATGTGCAGGATGTTGTTGGCGTCCTGCACCACAAAGTTGAGCTCCATGTCGAACTCACCACCGACCAGCTGAGGAACAAACGGTGTGCGGGTCAGCGGCGGCACGGAGCAAGAGGGGAAAGCAACGTGCGGGAGGAATGGCACATGAAACAGGTGTGCAATTTGTTCAGCGCATGAGTCCAGAATATAATGTTACTTCTGAAACTTCTTCCAAAAAGAGCTTTTATCTTTCAAATATTTAATGCATATGAGAATGGAGATGAATGTGCCATTTATAGCGTCCGCCGACAACACGTATTCAACTTTTCAAATAAACTGCTTAAATGACAGAGTTCCGTCTTCGCTCCGTCGGCGGATTTCTATTCACGGTTATAATTTGTTAGGTTTCCTTACTATCACCACTAGAAATTCTGAATGATAATATTCCAGACATTGAACGTTGTGAAGAGGATCTATTTCAAAGCCGGGATTCTCACTAGCAGACAACTTCCAGCCTAGATAAGTCCGCATAACTTTCCACCCTAAAATACCAAAGGAAAAAAGAGAACATATTTTTTCGATAGATAGAAGCCAAAGCCATGCTCAAGCGTGCTCAAACTGATGGAAATACGATGGCATATAAATAAAACCATTTGACAAAATGGCCATTGGCCAGCTATGCGGATATGAATCGATTCCTCCCCAAAGAAACTGGAATGAAGTGGCTGGCGGTGGTTTGCTGGTGCAGTAAAGCAAGGGAATGTCCACCGGAGAGGAGTCAGAAACTGAACAGAACTCAGAAGCTCGGTCATGGCGGTATTGTTAGGTAAGGACTGATGTATGGCATGAAGAACGACACATGACTACACCCGTCAGTGCGGTGCGTCAGGTGAAAGGTGGGATCACTGACTGTTCCTTTCATGTCAACTACAAAATTCCAAGTATCTATTGCGGTCCACTATTGAAAACATCGGCTGTTGTCGGGGATTCCAAAGCAACGTTGTGACATTCCCATAGGCGGCGGACCCCCTTTCCCGGGGCACCGTGCCCCCCTTTGATTTTGGCATTTTAACATTAGCCCTATGGGCGTTGCATGGAAAGAATGGGACCAAAAGTCGGCAGTGCCCCCCCCCCCCTTAATTGAGGGTGTTCCGCCGCTACTGGACATGCCAATCAGCCTGCGATTCACTACGAATGTTTTCGTTAGGGTAATGCTGAACGCAGGGCTGCGGAGTCGATGGATTTTCGGTGACTCAGACTCCGACTCCGACTCCGGCTTTCAAAAACCAGCTCCGACTCCGACTCCGGGCAGAATTGTCGACTCCGACCGACTCCAACTCCCGACTCCGACTCCGCAGACCTAGCAGGGCTGCGGAGTCGACAGATTTTCGGTGACTCCGACTCCGACTCTGGCTCGGGTTTCTAAAATCGACTCCGACTCCGACTCTGACTCCGGTCACAACTGTCGACTCCGACCGACTCCGACTCCGACTCCGACTCCGACTCCGCAGCCCTGGCTGAACGTGCCACATATATTTCAAAAAAGTATAAACAACACTTTGGCAGTTACGTGCATCCACTTTTCTACGTCGCCGAATAGTTAGCCTCCACAAGTCATGAACTCACACCACGTCACCAATATAGCCGACTGTAACAGCAAGCGATCGCCAATATAGCCGACTGTGACAGCAAGCGATCGCCTTTAACGACACCACTCCACCATAACGGGTGACACGTGGACAGCTCAGACCGCGGTATGCACCGCTCCAGACGGCGCAGGGCCCGCCGTCTGCCCCCGACCCTGGGATGGCGCGATGGGGCGATGCAGCGCTCCTAAACCGGCCGGCTGTCTGACGCTCAGACGGGCAGTAAAGCCGACAGTTTGCTACTGACTTACGGCCGTACCGCGTCAGCCCTCTGCAGCCGTGGGTATGCAGTATGCACCCATTACCCACCCTACAGGCAGACGGGCTCCGCTCCCACCCTGTCCTAGCAACGATTGGAACTTCCTCTCAAGGTATTAGGCAGATAGCCCGGCGAAACGGACCATTCTAATCGAACACTGCTTGTCCAAAATGCATCCACCCCGGTCCCAGAAATCGAGACTGACGGGCGACACCGATAGCATCCCCGGTGTAATTAAATTCACCAGATAAACAAGCTTCACCAGCATGAATTCACCCGTCAGGGTGGGTGGCGGTAACGCTGATCTGGAAGGCAGCCACGCAAAACTCAGCTCTCCGTTCGCCCGTTTACAGCCGGAGCCGAGACAAACAGGCGCCCGGGCGTCGATCAAAAGTCGGCAGCGTCGATTCTCCCGACCGGAGCCAAATAAAGCCGTCGAATACGACGCACGGCCGCCGCCCGCCTACAAAGTGGGCCAGAGCGCCGCCGAGTCGGAGCCGGAGCCGACATAACTCGCCGCGCGGGACCGGAGATAGGATCCTAGAGGAGCCGCGGCGGGCCACGGCGGACCACGGTGGCCGCGGCATGCAACGAACGTTCAGCGGAGTCACGGTTAAGTCACGACTCACGACTCACGACGGAGAAGAGAAGAGAGCAACACCAAATACGGATTGCACACAGAAGGAAAGGTGTTAGACTCAGTCCAGTCAGCGGCACGAGCAAATCCAGAGACATAGTGGGGAGATGTCAGGAGGAATAGAAACCAGAGAAATGGAGAGAGAATGGGGTGAGAGAGGACGAAAGGCACCTTGAGATCCTGCCTAATCCTACGTCAACAGTTCAACACAAGTTAATGTTTGTGAGGATTGGTGAATCCGTTATTGCAGATGAAGCTCAGAATGTTTGCCCAGCTATGTGACAGTGTCCACAGGGCCTCAGCGGCCCGGACAAAAAGCCTACTGAGCTAACATGCCTGACTGTTGTTTCCGAGAGACAGAGAAGAGAGGGCGACTGGCACCAACGCACTGTTTCACGACACGTTACAGGCTTTTTGGGGTTTCCATGGAAATGTCAACAAACTGGGACGCTCACAATGCACTACGCTTGTGTTTCCAAGGAAACCAAGAATGAAACCAAGAAACCAAGGAAGCCGCTACTAGCCGCTAGTGGAGTGCCGTAAAACAGTGTCCGAGCATCTCCGCATTCAGCGCGGCTGCCTGTTTTCCATGCGTCCACCCGCACCGCTACTGGGCTGTGTAATATCAAATATGTTTCATCATACATAGAGCACCGTATCACTAAGCTGTCCTCGATAAGATCTCAGAAAGTGATACTGATGGAAGGACAGACGTCGTGACAATCGCCTGCCCCGGGTCCTAGATTAGCGCCCGCTGGGCTGGCGATTAGGATCGACTACCTGGGTGTAGCGAGGGAGGTGTGTCCTGGATCGCTCTGATAGCGACCTGATAAACAACAGGCGTCCAAAAATCCCATAAAATAGGCAGGTAAGAATAGAAAAACTTGTGGATGTCGTAAGCTAAAAAAGAAATGGCACTTGCACGACAGGCTATTCCAGAAGCGTTTGAACTTGTACACAAACGACGATAAAATTGGTGGCAACTCAATTGTCACGAAATATCCTTTCCAGGAGCGCTTAGCTGACAGCTAAAAAACAAAACACTAGATCGCCAATTGTCAACCTGAACTACACCAGCGACATGTCTTATGTAATCATTAGCCGCACACAATCTAAAAAAAAAAAAAATGAACCAAATTCACAATTGACACGACACAACAAATGACAAAGCACAAATGACCTGTTGTCTATACTTCACCAAAGCCGCCAAATGAACATCCCCCCCCCCCCCACCCACACACACACACCTACATTACAGACACCATGACCGCCCGTTCCGTCGATCCCGGTAGTGACCCGGCTGCCGCCGAAATGTCGCGAGGTCGCCGCACACCCGTCTCCGGCGCGGCTTCAGGCGTCTCCCGTAATTGGGTTTGTGTCGTCCGTGCGGTAAGCCCGGGCTACTGCGGTACGGCACGGCCCCAAACTAACCCGCCCCAGTCGGCGGCAGCCCGGCTCAGACACACTTAGATGGGAATTTAATTTGCAGCGGCCTCATAGATGCTGGGTGATGTTGAATGTGACGAATTTCCGGCATGGTCTAGCCGTAATGCTAGGATGACATACTTGGTGCGCCATCTGTTTCACCCATAATATCATAGTACACTTTCACGCCATCTTACATCATCTAACATATTTCAACGCATTGACGAGTAAAACGTGTACACTGTAAAGTGTACACTGTAAACCACGGAATATATAGTCTACGACATGGAATGGACAGATCGCGATTTAACCACGTTAAACGTGTAACTCGAAAGCAAGCAAGGAAGCGCCCGTATTATAAACGCACACAGTGCTCTCGCGCTAGAAAATCAAATATTTTTCACAAAACCACGAAAACAACTCGACAACCTAAACAAAATTCGACATTCTTGTGCAGTAGTGATTCAAGGGTAGAATCGACGGTTTATTTAGTACTGGTAACGGCGATTTACCGTTAATGTTCTCATTCATTTGCTTTTTTGTACTTTTTTATTGTGATTCATAGTCTTCGAATATACAAGGAAAAAGCTGTAACCAGAGAAAGACGCAACTTTGTGACGCTGAGGGCTTTAAATGACTGGAATGCTCTTCCAGAAAGAGTGGTTACTGCCCCCAACCCTTAGCGAATTTAAGAAAGAAATCGACCAGCTTTGGGCAACGTCTCAGTTCAAGCATTGAAATAGTTTGACTGATGCATCGTCAAAATCAGCCACAAAGTTGAAAAACATCCAAACGAAGGAATATCGTGGAGAGAAAGTAAAAGTGAAAGCGAGGAAGTCGCAGGCCCTTTGCAAGGGGCCTCTTTCCATGGACAACTTCAACTTCAACTTCAACTTCAACTTGATTAGGATTACGAATGAGTTTGCGGATTGGCGTTTTTTATCGCGAATTTGTGAGCTTAAAAAGTGATGTGGCCCAGCGCGGTTCGCTGCGGCTACTGCCGAAAGGCGATATCAAAATTGCAACTGTCTAGACACCGGAGAAGGCCAAGATTACTTTACCGAGAAGGCTGCATCCGTGGCTGCCTACGACCCGGCCCGGCCGGCACCGCTAAAGCGAAGGA